GCTCCATCTCCGCTGTCCCAGCACGACGCCGGCCTCGGCGTCCTCGACGCTCTACTCGACGGCGTCGCGGCGCGGTGGACGCCCCAAATGGAGCCAATTTTTTCCAGCGGCAATATGAAGCCTTCTCACCCGTGTCGTCGTCGTGTCGTTCCGCCACCCACTCCGTTTTTGCCAAATCCCCGCACTGCTTGGCCGGGCCGGCACGCCCCGCCCCCAGCCAACCACGTCCAGAGATTGAATGGTCAGTGGCGGTGGAAAGGGTGTGCGTGGGCCCGGCCCGGCCCGGCCGGCCTGTCCCCGCGCTGTGTCGTTGGCCCGTTGGCGCCGCCCATGGACCGCGTCACAAGCCTGGAGCTTGTCTTGAGGGTCGCCAGTGTGCCGCCGGCCGCGGCCTCACTCATACGCTGTTTCATGTAGGTGTGAGGGAGACAGAGCGACGAAAACGACTCTCGGAATCAGTCTGCTGCCTTTGCGGAGGGCGCTCACGGGCCAGGGCGGCCAGGGCTTGGGGCTCAAGGGCCTGGCGGCAAGGACCTGGCGGCCTGGCCCAGCCAGCCCTAATCCGATTACTGCAATCACCTCAAGAACGAGGTGTCCTGCGGATTCTAAAGCCCTGTTCGTAGCCGCAACCCCCTTCTCCCTTTTCTCTCGCGGGGACGTTGGTCCAGGCACTGGAAATATAGGTAGCAATTTTGCTAATTTTGACGTTTTTGTGTTCCAGCGCGATGCGGATCCTGCTGCAGAAGCTGCCCCGGCCCTGGATCGTGGACGAGAAGAAGGACGACGGCTACACGGCGCTGCACCTGGCCGCCCTCAACAACCACACCATGGTGGCGCGCATGCTGGTGCGCCAGGGCAAGGCGCACATGGACCTGCAGAACATGAACGGCCAGACGGCTCTGCACCTGGCCGTCGAGCGCCAGCACATCCAGGTCGTGCAGGTACGTCGGAGCCGAGATATTGAACACTTTTGAACGCTCCCGGCAACGCGCGGGAGTACAAGGTGTACGATGGGTTGCCTACCCCCGCGGCGCTCCCGGCAAGCTGCCGGCGCCCGGCCGGGCAACCCTTCGTACTCCACTCCACTGCCATGGCCGTGTTTGTTGCAGCTCCTGGTCCAGCTGGGCGCCATGCTCAACGTGCCCGACAAGGACGGCGACACGCCGCTCCACGAGGCCCTGCGCCACCACACCTTGTCGCAGATCCGACAGCTGCAGGACGTGCAGGGCGTCAGCAAGGTGAGCCTCCCCTCCGGTTTCCACCCTCTCTCTCAGCGCCGCCCGTCGGTCCTACGCCGTCGGCAAGGGCCTCAGAGGGTCGACCGTTTTGGCCCCTATGGCCATGTGATGGTTGTCTTTTTGTTACTGTTGAATTCATTTTTTGGACCAAAAACACCTTTGAGTGAAGCATTTTCTGCGGAGTCTGTGACTAACGTTCCCTTCTGTCCTTAGCTGCTCATGGGGCTCAGCTGCGACCGCCAGGATAAAGACAAGAAGAAGACTTCCGCCACGATTGCATGCTTCCTTGCTGGCAACGGTGCTGACCTGAAGATCAAAAACAAGAAAGGGCAGACTCCGCTTGATCTCTGCCCAGATGCAAACCTTCTTGTGGCACTAACCAAATGTCACAAAGATCAAGAAATGTGAGCCATTAATATGGGTTGCAGATGCCATAACAACTGTTTGAACTCTCTTTTTAAGTGAACTGCTTTTATTTTTTCTTTCAGGAATAAGCTGAAGGCCCAGTATGAAGGCGATGCTGACGATGATCCTGCTACTCTGGATGAATGTATGGTATGCTCTGACCACAAAAGGGACATACTATTCAAACCTTGTGGGCACGTTGCTTGCTGCTCTCCATGCTCTGTCCGAGTGAAAAAATGCCTCATTTGCCGTGAGGGCATTGCCTCTCGTGTGAAGGTGACTTTCATTTTATATTTATGGTTCTTTCAAAGAAGTGATGTTAACAATTATAGCACAGTGTTTAAATGTCTTTTCTTTTCTGTTTAATTTCCAGATTGAAGAGTGTGTCATATGCTCAGATAAAAAGGCATCAGTCCTCTTCCGACCTTGTGGACACATGTGTGCGTGCTACCAATGCGCTCCTTTGATGAAGAAATGTGTTCAATGCCGAACACAAATTGATCGCATGCAATCTTTCATAGTTTGTTGTGGAGGTGTGGGTAAGTACAGTAATCCATTTAAAATGTTACGGTGCTCTTAAGATTCTTGGTCAGTCTTGTACAAATGCAATTATATTTTGCCACAGCCAACAACTCCGATTTAGATAACGAGTTTGGAGAAGGAGGATCATCTATGGGAGCAGCTGCTGCAGTTGCCTCGGCTGTGATATCTCGGCATCATCAAAATCAAGGAACAGGTAGGCAACAATTACATCAAGTGTGATCTTCATGTATCTCACAAATGTTTTTAAAGTCAATGTTTATTTTAAATATTACATTTCTAATACTTGTCTTCTCTTCCTTTTCCTGCATGGGATTTAGACTCAAAATCATCTGACTTTGATTCTGACCTTGAGGATGAACTACCTCATGGTTTGAACAGGCCCAATGCAACAGCTTTATCTACTGCTGCACTCAGTAAACGCCATACTCCAGGTGACTTATCATTGAATTTTTTTTTCCCTTGGATATATCTTTGAGACTGTCCATTATTATATCTTTTTGTTTTTAAATCTAGTTGTTGGACCAGTGGAGCCAAGACCAATACAAGGAAATATAATGAACAATGGCAGCCATGACACTTCAAATGACATCCAGAAATTGCAACAAGAACTGCAAGACATCAAGGAGCAGGTAAACTAGGAGCCATCATTTTTTACATTGTTAACTGGTGCTATTTACTTATCTTATCTTATTCCGTACTTTACAGACAATGTGCCCAGTATGCTTGGATCGCCTGAAAAACATGATCTTTATGTGCGGTCATGGAACATGCCAAATGTGTGGAGATCAAATGTCAGAGTGCCCCATTTGTCGGAAACCTGTTGAAAAACGCATCTTGCTGTATCACTGATCCACAAGATTTCGGCAGCGGTCTTCGCAGCGATTGTTGCCGAATACACGGAGCCATTCTGCAGACAGGCCCCAGCTGCGAAATGCAGTGCTGCATGCAACTGTGGAGAGGGCAATGACACTTAACCGTAGGGTTCTTCCTGCAGGACGTATACCAGTTCCTCCACCACGTGTGCCTCCATTCAAACCAAAGGAGCTTGTAGTGAGGTTGCCCTCAGGCCCCAACGAAATATGAAGTCCATAATCCTCTGAATTTTTCTGTTTTCGGCATTTGATCTCTATCAAAAAGTTATTTCTAGGACATGTTTATAATGTGAGACTTTCTTCTTCTTTTTTTTTGTTTCTAATGCAAAAAAGGTATTTAAAAATACTCTCAACTGTTTAGACTATTTTACTTTTACAGTTTGCAAAGCATAATATGAATGTATTTTTGTTTTCCTTAAATTGTTCTTAGAGCTCTTTCTCTGTTTGGCCTCTTATGACTTCAATTATTGTGTATGTACTTCTATGTTAAAGACTATTCAATTGAAAAAATTTTGACTGATCATTGCATAAATTTATTATTATTGTATAATCAATCAAACATAATCAATTACTATTTTGCTGTTGTCTAAGACTGGTGTAAGTGTACTATAATGGGCCATATTAAGGAAATTGCAAAAGAAATATGACCATGTCCTTGGCTCTCCTTGGATGAAGTCATGTGCAACAGATGCTGATGCTGTAAATCAGGAATGTCAGCCAGATTACTGACTTTGTGTTTTAACCATATGGAACCTAAACTAAACTTTACTGCAGTGTTGACCCCCTCCCCTTCTGTACTATACAATTTGTAGACGTTGTTTAATAAATAAAAAGAAATTTAAGAAATATTCCTGTTTGTCAGTTTTTTTTTACCACACCATCAGTCCCATGTCCCATCAGTATGGAGTACTTTTCCATAAATCTAGACAATGGTTTGAGGTGCATTTTAGCCCTGTAATTTACAAACTTGCCAGGGACGTCTATGCTGTGGAGGAGACCGAGGCAAAGATATTTCTAGTTTTTTTTTACCAGAAAAAGTCTGTTTGAGGCCCGAATGGGCCCCTATGTAGTGTCAGGTTGATTGAGATGGACCAAGGTGAAATTACTAAATATGGTAGGTGTTTAATAATTCAGGTTTCCAGAATAGCACTTAAACCCAAAATGAATTGGACTGATTGATAAATTCATAAAAAAAAAAAATTACTGTCTATCAGTATGCTCGCTGCTCGCGCTCTCTCCTCTGGCGACCCCAGTCTTGGCCGCGTCGATCATAGTTCTGGCGATCACGGAAGTTTCCTTGGTTGCCGCCGCGGTTGAAGAAACCTGATGAGGGAAATCAAAGCAGGATTAACGGAAGGCCGTTTAAGTGCGAGCTGACTTGCAGAGGGAGAGGGGAGAGACGACCCACCTTGCTTTGTTTCGAATACACGTTCATTGTAGTCCACAAGGCTGTTGACCTTGTCGGTGAGCTGCAGCGCCAGGGACTGCAACCGGCTGGGTTCGCTGCGATGCATCACCACGGTGTGGGTCGGGTCGTCTAGCGAAGCCTGCCAGGACAGGATGGAAATAAAGCAGTTGTAATCAACGGGGTCTTGTCTCAAGCTTTCAAAGGTCCCAACAGACGATGGTGCTGTACACACCATAAGTTCCTCATTGATGATCATTTTACTGATGATGGAATGCACAACACTTGGTTCAAGCTCAAAAGTTTCAGCCAAAGTTGCCATAGAAATGGAGTCATAAACATGGGAGTATGTGAAAAGATAGGTCCTCAATGCCTCTTCTCTGATCAGTTTTGTAAGCATGGATCGTACTTCATCAGCCTGATAGAAAAGATCCCAAACCTGCAAAAGAAATATTAGAAAATTGGTGTTAAGTTTAAGGGAATAATAAAAAGAAAAGAAACAAACAAATGTGATAGAATAAGCACCTTAGCATTCATCTTTTCATTAATGATGAATTTATTACAAGCCTTCCAGTTTCCATTACGCATGGCTTTGGATGCAGCAACAACGTGCTCTCGCATGGACTCAGGAGGCCCAAGGAGTGACTGCCTTTCACTTGATCTCAGCTGCTGATAGAAAGTCTTGGAGATCATTCTTCGGCGGGCGTCGAACTCGTGTTCTGGAGAAACAGCACGGGATCATGAACTAATACACATTGACAATTGTTATTACTATTACTCCATTTAAATGTACTGACCTGCCATGTAAGGGATTTCAATGAGCATTGCTGATACCATGTAAACACACTCCAAAAGTTCTAAATTAATATGCATGTGGAATGGCATCTGACGCTGCTTCTCAACTTTTTCCTGTTCCTTGGTTCGATCATTTTGCCTCTGAAATAATGTAAGTGTAGACATTTTTAGTTTAGAAACTATGTTGAACTCATTAATGCATATCAGGGTAAAACCAATGTCGCTGATTTTTCACAAACTACTTGTCCTGACATTTCCCTGACTTGTAGCCACCTTGAGTATAGGAATAAAAAATAATGATAAAAACTATGCTTAAAGAGGACATACCGTTGGTAGTAAACCTTGAGCCAAGAGTTCTTTCATTTTTCCTGTCATCATTAGATCCACCAGACAATTATGGGCATCTTTAATGTTTGCATGTCTAAAAGCACACAAGCCCAAGTGTGCCATTGTCCGGTTGTAAAGAATCTGAGGGGGGAAAAAAGTAATTGAAACAAACTGGATTGTTGACTGTAATATATGGCATGCAGTGCACACAAATACATTACCTGAGTAGGAGGGTCAGAATGCTGAATGGCCTCCTGTAAGTGAGACATGAGGATGAGGTCTCGGGCCTGGAACCAATTATCATGGAGAGCATGGTGGTACACATGCGAAAGAATGGCCCGCGTTCTTAGACGGTCTGTTTGATCCTTATCATAAACAAACTTGCAGAGTCTGTCCATAACTTGCACACTAGTCTGAGTGCCAGGTTCTAATTTTCCTTGCTTCTGTTGCAAGACTGTGGGATCAAACTTGTAGTATAAATGCTCAATCTTGCGCATGTATATACGACAGAGGTCAGCATCAATGTCCTCTTGCTTTTCAAGGTAGGTCTGAACCTTGTCAATGATATCAACTACCCTTTTCTCGTCCTTCAATCTAAACAGCAACAAATATTAAATTACAGTCAATGTAGGTGAATGATAAACATTTTTTAGTACATTAGGGTCTCATTAATTTTTACCTTTGCACATATTCATTTGAATGAGGATCACACTCTTTCAAAAGCTTAATGAACTCTTCATCAAGCCTTTCCACAATAGTCAGAACACATCCTCGAAGTTTGTAAGGAGCTGTCTCGTATTGTTCATTATCTTCCAAAATGCTTTCATTCATAATAACATTCTTAGCAGCAATCATCCGGTCCATCATATCAATAATTTGCTCCAAGAGTCTGCAGGAAGAAAATATGAGGTTAGAAGAGACAAATGAAACATGACTAAGTAATAATGGGTATGATACTATGTTTCAATGATAAAAATAATATTTTTCTTCTTACTTAGCCCAATACTCAGGTTTCATGGCATCTGACACTTTGGGATTGTAGTCAAAGATTGATGAGACAATAGAATATTTAATCTTGATAGCCACAGCATGCCCAAGATTATGGTGCTCTGACGCAAGGAGGAGCTCATGAAGCAATTCAATTTGCTCACGGCGATCTGTACGCTTCTTTCCACGAGCAGCAACAATTTCAATCAATTTCTTGACAACAAGATCTACATTGATTTCAGCATCCTTGGCGAACATTTTAGGCTTCTCCTATAAATAGAGATACATTAATATAATCCAGTCAATATGTGAGAACATGCAAAGAAGGGAGAAGGGAGAAGAAACTCACTGATGGAATGGCAACTCCTCCTTTCACAGTTTCCCATTTGCCTCCATCATCATCAGAGTCTTCTTCCTTGGGTTTCTTCTTGGGAACTCTCTTGGGTGCCTTTTTGGGTCCTGGAGGCTTTTCCTTATCCTCATCATCCTTGTCTACAGCCCTGTAAAGAGGAAGCAATTGATTAAATTTTAAAAGAACCGTAAAAATAAACATACTACAGGTGTTTATCCAGAAAAGGGAACTTACTTCTTCAAGAAGCGTTCACGCACACTCGTGTACTGGTTCTCGTCATCACTGCTTTCAGAGCTAGTATCACTGTCAGAACCCCAGTCAGTCTCACTGTCGTCATCCCCATCATCACCACCTTCAGCAGCAACTTTCTATAACAGGTGAAAATGAAATATTACCAACAATGAAAAAAGTAGGGAAAGTATAACAGTCAATTGACATTTACAAATAAACAAATGAAGCGTTACCTTAGGTTCTGAGACAGGCTCCACACTAGGCTTCTTAGTTACAACAGGATGGCTATCTTCGTCGTCAGAAGAATCATCACTCTCATCTACATGAAAGAAAAGGAAATAGAACAGCCAAATGTGATACAAATTGCAAATTAAAAAAGAATAAAATAAGACTTGATATGGCATTGAAGCCTAGAATACCTTTCTCCTCCTCCTCATCTTCATCAGGTTGATCAGGACTGGCACGGAATTTTGTCATCTCTTCTTCAAAATCTTTGATGTATTTCCTCATTTTTTGACGCAATGAAGTCAAAGACTTTGAGTTATTCTTTGACATGTTTTTCCTGAAAATCAAAATTAAGAGTAAGAAAAGAAAAAGAAAGAGTAAGAAAAGAAAAAACATTTTAACAAAAGCAACACTCACCTGCCATCCCTATCTTCCCAAACTTCCGTGACAAAGTCCTCAACTTCTACCAGGCATCGCAAGTAAAAGCGAGGCGTAATACCATTTTCCTCTTTGGTGATGACAGGCAACGCTTTAGTGTATGCCCGCATAAGGTCCTCATAGCCTAGTGAGGCAGACAATAGATCAGGTAAATAAAAATGAAAGGTACATGAAACAGCTTAGAATAAAAGTATGAAACAAAATGCGTACTTGATAATAAACTGCTCATATCCTTAATTTTTTTGTAATTTCGGATCTGCTTGATAAGATTTGTAATCTCTTCATAGCGTTTCTCCTTGGCCGAACGAACAACTCGTTTGGTATCTTCTTCTTCATCGCTGAACTGAAAGTAAGAAACAAAACAGACATTGTTAAGTCATGGCGTCATGATGTAATATGGAATTGAAATATGCAATCAAAGTGACAAGTGCTACAGGTTGCAGAAGTACATACAGTAAATGCAGCAGTTGGCTGGCGGATAATCTGCTCTTCTTCAGAGGAGCTATCAGAATCAGAGTCTGACCCCGTAGCAAAGAAACGACTCATGGTTGTAAAGCCGTAAGGCACTCGTTACAACTGTAAACATTGCACAATAATTAGTGTTAATACAATACTTAAATAGAAAATGTTTCAAAGTGGAATTAAAAACATCAGTCAATCTGGATAATAGGTAAAAGATAAAAGTTTCGATTGTGAGGCTATTACTTCATAATGTTTAGGACTTCAGTAGATACAGAAAGATAACACAAGTGGTTTATACATTCAAATGGTCTATTCCATCAATGCCGTTACCACTGTAAAATCATTAAAAATAACCACAAAAATTGACGCGAGGGGTAGTTTGCAGTGCTGTCAACACCAACCGTATGTCGAATGGATTGATTGACAAGGAACAGCAGTAACCTACGAGGGGCCGGCCGCTTCACATAAAGGTAGTTAGAAACACGGAGGGAAACAGCCTAGAGGTTTCAAAATGGTCCATACAGCAAAAGAACAATATTGCTGCTTAAAATAATACAGTTCTGAAGAGGAAACTAAACATTTGACTTAAAAATATTGAGATTCCGTGAGGTTAGGGGACGCCATGCCGTGCCAGGTAGGCGGAAGGGAAATGCGTAAGTACTTGCATTGGACGATCGAAAACTCAGTGCGCACTCGCCCCAGAGAGATTGTAACCCTAATACTTCGAATTGATGTTCAATGGTGATTCCAGACACTATTTGAATGAAATCTAGAGCAATTTCACACGCGTACCTTCTGATTCTGATGAACCTCACGGAGGTGGAGGGGGGCACCGCCTTCTTCGAAACGTTTGGCGCCTATCGTTGCTCATGTATGAGAAATTTAACGAGCGTATCTTTTGTTGCCCCGTTGGCGCGGTTGGCGCGAGTTTTTGAAAGTCCCTCGGACGCTGACACGGTCTGAGTTAGGAGAGGAATTGAGGTTGCTGGAAGTTCAGTACACAAGACGTAGATGATATTGAATCAATATGATATTTATTATTATAAGTGTCACATTTTTCAAAAACAGTGTGCTTAACATCATTTTTCACTGTTCATCAGGTATATTCAAATCTTTTGTAACCAGCACATCTGTATTCCTGACTTGCAGGCATCTTGATTCAACCCTATGGAATTTAAGACCAACGTTAAGGTACACGGTTAGAAAAATACTTAGAGAGTTAATAGGGAATTACTCTGAGAGTCTTCACAGCTTTGTTATCAAGAGAAGAACATAGGAACCTTCTCTCAATAGATTTCATTAACATTGATTTTTTTTTCCAATCTAGAAATTTAGAAGGTTTTTGTAATTGCAAAACTTCCTGATACAACTTGATACAAGTACAGAACATGCCCTTCAGATTGGAGAGATATCTTTTCCTTAGAAAAATAGAAGGTGGCAAGAAAACAAGCTTGCATCATTGTGAAATTTCTTTTTTTAGGACCATTTCAACTTTGATGCCATCTTGCATCTAAATTGTCACCTTATATTTTTCCCTGGGTCCTAGATTGTAAACAACTTGAAGTACTTAAAAAGATTTTTTTTATTAACATATGTACACAGGTTGTGATTTTATTAAAAAGTGCCTTATCAACACAAATCTATAAACAACAAAATTATTACAACAGTGTTACTCAGAGTCCTGCGTAAAAAACAAGTGCTATCTTACAACTTAGTTCATGACCCTATTTTAAAAGTAAGTCATTGTAAAATTGCAATTTAGTCATACAATTTTCTGTATCAAGAAAAAATTTTATATGGTATGAGGTATCTAATGAAAACATAATACAAGGTAAAGGACATGTGGAGCACAGAAGGGAGTGAGCAGAGATGTATCGAAATTTAAAATGTGGGTCCTCAAATAGTTTTTCCTTGAGTTAAAAGCAAAGAAGATTTATTTGGATGTTCTTTTCTCATCACTAGAGATCTGCAATAAAAAATTAAAAATTCACACAATTTTTATTTTTTCAAAAAGAAGAAATAAAAGCATAAAATAATTTTCCTACCCTGTTTACCTACTTTGAGTGGCGCAAGATCACATTTACAACAGCGACCTCACTAATTGATTTAAGACTAGTGAAAATAAAATAAGAAAAATTGTTTATCGGTTCTTCTTGGCTCAAGCAAGGAAATATAAGAGATGCCCATGCCAGCATGAGCTTTATTTTTTTACACCAGGGCCACAGTTCCATAATAGAGATGCAACCTTCCACCTCTTTTAAATAATATAAATTAAGGAATGTGGTTTTGAAATTCTGTAGCTAGACTATGGCTCCCTTCCAGAACAAATATTGAAAACAAAAGTACGAAAGTCAGTATAACGTTTGCAATGATTACCAGTACCTTCTTAAAAATCACAAGTTATTTTTGGTCACCAAACATAAGAGTAAAACTATCACTGAAACTCATTTTAGAGGAACAATCACAAAGATGGAATATTTCGTATCACTCACTTGTGTGCGTTAGCTCACACTTCATGGCATTATTGTTACTGTATAAGATATGATCAAGTTCTATGGATGCAATTTTTATTGCTTCCTAACTTGCCGAAAGTTATTGTTTTCTGAGCTACCCTGGAATGGTAATTGTCAATTATGAATATTAAGAGAGAAGAAAAATGATACTTTTTTTTTCAATGCCCATGACGAGTGCTGTGAGCTTTCAATGTATATGGGTATGAGTAAACATTTTCGAGCAGAGACCCTGTACCCATCAGAGACCTGCGCCTCGTACAAAACAATACAAAAACACGCTAAAATAAAGGCCATGTTACAAATTGCACATAGTATAAAATTCATTAGTTTGACGTCCCTGCTCTTTCCCAAAGTGTAGCTAATCGTGGTGCCAGTGTTTTCGACAAACCGCGTCAGCTACACAAAAAACGAGAACACAAACAACGGGTGTGGCTGTCCCGTTGAAAAATACAAAATAAAACAAGAGAAAACAAGTTCCTTAGAAGAATTAGAAGAAGTCTGTGGGCGTTCTAAGGCCTTGCTGGCACTAAGCCACTAAGGGGGTGTCCGCGCGTCTACAGTGGAGACCAGAACGAGCACCACTATCGAGTCCCCGACCAACATCAGGGCCACCGTGACGACCACGGTGTGGGCCACGGTGTGGGCCCCGACCGCGCGGACAGGTCTCAGCACTCAAAGATCCGGCGGGGGCGGCGGGGGTGGCGGCGGCGAGGTGGGGGTGAGGATGCCCTGCGAGATGGTGGCCACGGCAGCCGCCCCCGCGCCGGGCCCGGCAGGCCCCACGGAAGACGTGGAGGCCACGCTGGGTGCGGGGCAGGTCACCGCGGCCGCGTCCTGCACCTGGAAGTGGTGATGGTGGTGGTGCTGGTGGTGGGCGGAGGCGGCGGGGGCGGAGCTGGGGGCGGCGGTGGGAGAGGAAGACGGCGACGGCGCGTGGCCCCGCACCAGGTGGCCGAGGCCGCGGACGAGGCTGGACGGAAAGGACGAGTGGGTGAGGTGCGACGTGGAGCGGCTGGTGAGGCGGTGCAGCACCGAGCTCACGGGGACGGGCTCGCGGTGCTCCTCCAGCGAGCGCGCGTTCAACAGCTGCTGCTTCCTCGGAGACGGCCTGCCACCGGGGGCCGCCCCCGCCGCGGGCCCCACGCCGCCCCTGGTCGCGGTGTCCTGCGCTGGCGGCGCGCCGACGCGGTTCATGGCGTTCTCCAGGCTGGCCGACGCGCTGCTGCTGCCGCTGCACGCCAAGGAGAAGGGCGCGCTGGGGGCCGCCTGGCTGCCGCCCTGGCCGCCGCCCTGGCTGCCGTTGGACCGCGACAGCAGGCTGTGCTGCCGGAAGCTGCGGCGACGGTGGAGGGCCGAGGCCGACGTGGACGGCAGCGAGGGCAGCGCCGGGGGCAGCCCAGCCTCGCCCTCCTCCAGGCTGCAGCCGCGGCGGAAGCGGCCCAGGCTGGGGGCGGCGCTGGGGGCGGCGAGGGGCAGCGCCGGGTAGTGCGCGGGGGCGGTGGCGCGTCGCAGCGCCGTCCCGGACGTGAGCATGCGCTCCAGCAGGTCGAGCTGTGAGTTGCTCAGGTCGTCCAGCGTGCACGTGTTGTCGTTGACGGCCTGCTCCAGCACGCGCACCTCCTCCTGCAGCCGGTTCTGCTCCTCGCGCCGCTCCAGCTCGCGCGCCAGCATCTGCACCTCCCAGTCACCCTGGTGGCCGCGGAACTGCAGCTCGTCGTCCTCATCGTCGTCCTCGCGGGGGTACAGGTCTGCCGCTGGACATAAAATGCGATCGTGAGCACACACAGTCTCACGCCGAGGTGGTCGTCAAGCCTCGACACGGCGTGCCTACCTTCCTCCTCGAACTCGTCCTCCTCGTTGCTGGACGCGTCCGAGGTGCCGATGTTGAGCACCACCGAGTCGCCGGGCACCGGCTTGCCGCCGTTCACGTTGGACCACACGGCCAGGGGGCTCATGGACGGCGGCAGGTCTTGCAGCTCCATGTGCTCCTCTTCCGAATGGTCTTCCCAGGATCTGCCAGGAACACACACAAAAGTCACATAGCATAATCGCCCGCGGAATAGGAAAGGCCAGGAGGGGTCATTCACGTCGACTCGGATTTAGAGGAGTTCCTCGTAGAGGTGCCGGCCGTCCCGAGCTCACCTCCGGTACAGTAGTTGCCTGGCCGCCGCCGACGCCCTGCGGTAGGTGGTGCTGGGCTGCGTCCGCGGCTCGCCCTCGTCCGTGGAGGTCTCCGTGTCGTGGTGGTACTGCTCGGCGCAGCCGTCCCGCTGCGCCCTGCGCGCGCTGCTCACGTTGGCGTTGCTGTGGTCGTCGTCGTCGTCATCGTCGTGCCGCCGTCGGCGCATGCCGCCCAGCCGGTCGTCCAGCTCCTCGTCGTCGTCGTCGTCCTCCTCGTCACGTTCGTCCTCGGCCTCCTCCTGGTCCTCGCCCGGTGGAGACCGCGGCGGCGAGAACAGCACCGTGTCCACCGAGTCCCCGCGCTGCAACGGCAGGACAAGGGCGTCGTCAAGCATGGTCGAGTAATTTTCCTACATTAAGGTCGCTGCTTCTCATCTACAACATTTTTTTTTATCGTGTTTCATTCTGCAATCATCCACATGGGCAAACCCTTGCCAACTTCACTCAAGCTAAAATAAGACAACAAAATTAAAAGCATTTCTGAACAAGGAAGAGTTTGTGAAAGTGCGCACAAGATTTTCTAAGATGGCGAACAAAAATAACAAGAAAACTAATTCAAATGGTCGAACTGCCTCCGCCAAAGACTAGCACACTATAGCGGCGCAGATGTACTTTCAGCGACGCGAGTTCCCTCTATGGAGGCGTAAGCCAAACCAGCAGGTAAGCCTGAACAACCTGTCGACTCACCATGAAGGGGGCGTCTGGGATGTCATAGTCATCCGGAGTGTCCCGAAGGTGGGGGTTCTATCAAAAGAAAGCCATACACCGTGAAGGAGCGTGCCTGCAGGAAAGACCAGCCCGACTTTCTTTGGACAACAGTAACGAGTGGCACTCACCTCTAGCTCTTGGATGCGGTGCTGAAGCTTGGCGATGATGTCATCCCTCTTCTTCACCTCCAGCTCCAGGCTGTGGCACTGCGACTGGAATCCTCTCTGCAGGTCCTCCTGCACCGGAAAGAGAGCAACTTTAACGGACGCACAACGAGGTGATTGTAAATGTCAGGGTAAAGCGCGGCGCCGTGCCCACCATGTGGCCCTGGATGACGTGCTTGATGCCGACCAGGATGTCGGAGAAGTACTCCTCCTCGCGGAACGACTTGAGAAACGACTCGGGCCGGAAGAAGTTCTTCTGGTGGGCGGGGCCCACGGGGATGGGCTTGCCCTCCTGGACGATGAAGGGGACCGGCTTGCGCGGGGCGTGGCTGTCGAGCGTGGGGGCGGGGGGCGGCGCGGCGGCGGGGGCGGCCTGGGGCGGCGGGGCTGGTGGTGCCGCACCCCCGCTGGACGGCGCCACGGTCACGGTGGTCGTCATGGTGGTGAGCGTGGCCGAGTCAGTCTGCCGCCGCGACGCGCTCTCGCCCTCACTCTCGCTCTCGCTGCGCGACGGAGGCAGGGGCGGCAGCGCCTCGAGCGGAGACAGGGCCTCGGCCACGGCGAGCGGCGGCACGGGGAGGGGGGTGGGTTGGGGGGCGGCGCTGGCCTGCTGGGCCACTACGCTGCTAATCAGTACCTGCGTCCGCACGGGGCTGCTCACCGACACCAGGGTGGCTGACACGACCGTGATGTGGTCGGTGGCGACACTGGGGGCGGCACTAAGGGTGGCACTGGGGGTGGCACTAGGGCTGGCACTGGGGGCGGCACTGGGGGTGACACTGGGGGCGGCACTGGTGGCAGTGGTCGTGGGGACGACGCCGACCTCATGCGGGGGCTGGGAGGGATCACAGGTTGGCGCGGCGCTTTGAGCGGCTTCGCTTTGAGCAGGAGAATCACAGGCAGAGTGCACCTTCTTGGCCGTCCGGTCCGGACTGGGGAAGAAGGTAGTGGTAGTCTTGTTGGCGGTGGCGGGCTGCGTGGGCGTGGTGGCGCTGGACGGCGGCGACTGCAGCGTGTCGCGGTTGAAGGTCACGCTCTTGGCCAGCTTGCTGTGCCGCGCCGCGTACCCCTCCACCGTGGGGGCGCGCATCAGCTTCCGCATGTCGGTCGGCGGCACTGCCGGCGGCGCGGGCGCGGGGGCGGGCGCAGGTTCGGCGCCCTCCACCGCGGCGGCGGGCTGCGGCTCCAGCAGCGAGCCCGACGACAGCTTCTTGAGGATGCTCTTGAGGTGCCGTCGTTCGTACGTCTCGTTGCTCTCGGGCGACACGACACCGAACGCCCCCATGGCCGACGGCGGCAGCGGCCCCCCGCCAGCCGCCAGCTCGGTGGGCCTGGCGGGGCCGTGGAGCGGGCCTCGCTGGCGGTGGCGCGCGCGCGCGTGCTCCATGGCGCACGTCTCCGAGTGGCTGCGCGTCAGGCACTGCGGCTCGTCGTCGTCCACCCCGCCAGAGTCCAGGCTGGCGCTGCGCACGTTGGCCTCCAGCTCCGCCAGCTTCTGGCGCTCGTTCAGGATCTTGAGCCTCTTGACGAAGGGCAGCCCGCAGTACTCCGGCGAGAGGTCGTCGATGGACTTGTACAGCTTGGAGCCCGGGTGGAACCGGAGCAGGTTGGGCTTCTTGGTGAGGGGGGTGGGCGAGGCGGACGGAGCTGCGGTGGTGGCGGCCGAGGCCGCGGGGACGGTCATGGCGACACTGGTGGCGGCCGCGGCCTCGCCGCCGGTCGCGGCGCTGACCACCGCCTCGGTGGTCGCCGCGCAGGTCGCCACCACCTCGTCTTCCTCCTCCTCGCCCACGTTGCTGAGGCACGGGCCAGCCAGCCCCAGTGGCTTGAGCGTGGACGGGGCCGTGACGCGGCGGGCCAGCAGCGACGCGGTCGACGTGGTAGCGGCTGGCAGCTCCTCCAGCACCGTGGTCGTCACCCTGGGTGCTGAGGTGCTCAGCGTGGTGGCGGCGTTGGTCGGCGCGTTGATCTCGGCCTTGGTCGTGACGGTGTTGGCCGCGGGCTCAGTCTTGTGCGTTGCGCTGCTGCCGTGCGACCCCCTGCCCCTGCCCGGCCTGCTGCTCACGGTCGCTTTCCGCAGCAGCCCCCACGTGTTCTTGGACTTGGCCTTGGCCGTGGCAGTGGACACGGTGTGGGCCGTGGTGGTGGTCGTGGTGTGCAGCACGGTCATCAGCTTCTCCTTGAGCGTGCTGCCCTTGGAGGGCGGTGGCGCGGGCGGCGCGGGCGAGGCGGCCTCTTCGGCGGGCTGCTTGGTGGTCTGCTTGTCCTCGCCCGTGTCGTCCGAGCCGAAGGAGGTGTTCCCGGACGCGTGGCCCTTGATGGTGCTGGACGACGCGGACGGCGTGACCGACGCGATGCTGGCCGTGATGGAGCTGTCGCCCGCCTTCTTCTTGATGGACACGATCCTCTTCAGGATCGAGGACTTCTTCCCGGCGCCGTCGTCCGAGTCGCCGGACGAGGGCGGTGGCGCGGCCGAGACGGGCGCCACGTCGGTGATGGTCTTGGAGATGCTGGCGCCGCGCGTCCGCCGCCGCCCTCCGGGTGCGGGCGGTGCAGCCTGGGGCTCTCCACCGCCAGCCGCCCGCTCCGCAGCGAGACGCTCGCGGTCCTCCTTGGCCTTGAGCAGCAGCAGGCGCTGCAGCAGCGGCAGCCCCGCGCCGATGACCTCCCTGGGCGGGCTGTCGTCCCTGCCCTCCCTGCCGGCCTGGCCGAGGGCCTGGCTGGGCGCGGCCGCCTGGCTGAGGCTCTCCTCCTGCTGCTGCCGCGTCGTCTTGAGCGTGCGTAGTTTGAGCAGCACCTGCCCCTCCGCCACCTGCTGCTCCTCGCGCGGCGTGACGGAGGCCGTGCCGATGGAGCCGCCGACCGCCGCGGCGGCGGGGCCGACGCGGACGTCGGCGGCGTCCCGGTCCTGCTTGGCCTTGAGCATGAGCAGCCGCTGGATGAGCGGCAGCCCCTCGCCGATCTTCTCCGTCGGCGCCTGGGGCTCCTCGGACGAGTCCTCTGCCGAGAAGTCGTCACTGCGCACCCGCGGCATGCGGCGCAGCATCCCCTTGGCGCCCTTGGTGAGCGGCTGCAGCTCCAGGCTCTCGTCCTCCATCCTGCGCAACGACAAGGTGTTAGCTACCGCCGACGCCGAACAATGGTGCACAGTGGGCCAGCTGCAAGTCACCTGTTGGTCCCTCGCCTGCCCTTCCGCAGGGCGTTCTTGAGGCCCTGCTTGACGTCGCTGCGGAGCCGCTCGACGATGCGCTTGCCACGCGCGTCCTGCCCCTCCACCGGCGACCGCGGCTCCTTGCTCTGCGCCGCGGCGTGCCGGTTGGCGTCCTTGGTCCGCACGTTGCGCGCCTCCATCAGCCGCTTCCTGCCCAGGCTCTGCAGGATCTCCTGGGCCTCGGGGTAGTCCTTCATGGCGGCCAGCACGTCCTCGCGCGACAGCGAGAACAGCTCCGAGTACCCCACCGAGCGCACGTCCGCCGTCCGCCTGCAAACAGACACAGTGTGATGACGCTGAAGACGGTCGCGGCGATACTCCTCGCCGGGATCTACCCCACGCCAGAGCCCCTGCGCGTGGGGTAGTCCCGCCGGGAGCGCCCGCCGGCCGCGGCGTAGGCAACACACAGCGCTGCGGTGCGCTGAACGGTGGCGGTTGCATACCACGCAGGCGCTACACATACTTGTTTAGGCCGTCCAGGTTCAAGATGCCGATCTCGCCGAAGAAGTCACCCGCTTTCATAGTGGTCAGCACCCGGCCCGTCTCACTGAAAGGCAGACAAACTTAGAATCCGTCTCGAAAGCCCGCTCCCTGGCGCTGCGTGCGAGTCACAGCCAGCGCCCGGTCGGCTCACCTGATGACTTCCAGGATGCCGTCGGCGATGATGAACATCTCGCGGGCCACCTCGCCCTTGCGGCAGATGAGGTCGCCCGGCGTGAAGATGTAGGCCTTCATCTTGAGGACCAGGTCGTGCAGGAACTCGGGCTGGCACTCCTGGAAGATGGTCACCTTCTTGAGCACGCTCAGGTTGACGTGCAGCGCCAGCTCCGTCTTGAGCTTGTCTGGCAGCAGTCCGAGGGCCGTGTTGATGTCGCCGCCTCCCTGGATCCGCCCCCTGCAACAAGAGGGTGAACTTCCGCCCGAGAAAAACCTCCGCCGCGACCGGGGATCGAACCCGCGACTCACCTGGACCAGGAGTAGTCGTACCAGCGTAGCACGCGGCGCTTCATGCCGCCCGGCACCTTGTGGTGGCGCATGTACGTCTTGGCGCCGTCCAGCAGCCTCTCGAACTCCAGTCGGTTGGCGTTCCTGTTGGTGATCACGTTGCCCACTTGACCTGCGAACCAAGCGAGCCGCCGTTACTTCCGGTGTGGGGCCCGCGAGTTCCGACAGCCAATAAGATCGCGCCGGCCGCGCAGAGAGGCTTAATTGGGAGTCATCGGCCAGCAGGGCGATTCCGAACCAGACCCTCTCGTCGCGCCGTCTCTCTCGCACCCGCGGTGCGTCCGGGAGCTGCGAGCGACACGGCGCGACGATGATAGCTCTGTTCCAGAAATAGCCTGCAGGTGCGAAGGCGCCGCCTCCGGGAAGGCGGAGCGCTCGCGCCTCGTCTTTTGTTGGAATAAATTAGAGAAAGCGACGAAACGGATCACGAGAAAAAAAGGGCGTCCGTGTATTTGCGTTTCGAGGACGAAGTAACATGACACTTGCCGACAATGGTGGCGAAGATGAACACGCCGATGAGGTAGCTGATGATGGTGAAAATGTACCTGCAAAGGGGAAACAATGCCGCTTGTTAAAACAGCCGGCCCGCAACGCGCGCCGGAAAAAAAAATTAGCCACTGCGACTATTTTTTTTTTCCGTGCGGTCCTTTGGTTTAAACGTCACTCTAGAGTCGCGCACTACGTTCAAGTTGCAATACGTCATCAACACAATGCAAAAAGCTGCATCACGTGGGACACAAAGTTTTCGAACAGGGTCACAAAGCGAAAAAGTGAAAAAAAGAAAGAAAGAAAGAAAAATAAAGAGAGAGAGATGTATATACAGGATTGAAGGCTGTTCGAAAACCTTGTTCCGCGGCAAATGTTACGTCAGGCGTGTCGTGGTGAAAAAAAGAAGGGATAGTCTGATTGTACGAACAGCCTCCAAAACACCTGCGATGGACGCCCGACCACAACGAGTTGACCAGGAACCTTTCTGCCAGCAGGGAGGGCAAGGAGCGGCAAGGAAGGGCAAAGGCGTGGTGAAGGGCAGGACGGGCAGGGGCGGGAGAAGGGCCAGTAAAGGGTCTGGATTTGACAAAAAAGGGCTGGAGGTGGGGGCCAGTTCATCTGAAAGGAGGGAAAAAAATCTATTGGCCAGTAGGCACGGCGACCCGTGCCGTCTCAGCGGGATAGCGGAGGAGTGCCACCGAAAAACTTGACAAATAAAACTTTTGGCCGGGGCTCTAGCCGGGGCCACTTGGAGAGCTAGTTTGACGGGCTGGGAGAGGAGGTACCCGCCACGGTGGAGAAGAATGGACCAAAAGAAAGAAGACGTTTTCTTGCTGGAGATGAGGCGAAGAGAGCGAAGCGCGGCAGCATTGTTCGTGTGTGGTGGTTGTGGTGGTTGCGGTGGGGTTGTGCGATTTGGGGGAGGGGAGGGGGCGAGGAGGGGGAGAGGAGGGAGGTCTACTGTCCGGAAGGTCACTGGTCAACGCAGAATAGCACGCAACCTCTTCTCGAAAACTTTGTGCCCCTGGTGCGCGAACACTCCACTGTAAGAACGTCGCCCGAAGGCCAAGCCTGCGCCAAGCCCGCGCCAAGCGTGTGGGAGACGCATTGGATTCCAATAGGCCGGGTCGCCGCAGCTCCCTCTGCGCTCCAACGTCAAGTGCGTTTTCCTTGTAGCCATCGCCTTTATCTCCTTTTCATTTATTTTGCCACTGGACGACTCAGGCTCTTGCTTGCATCCGTGCGGGCGTTTGGCTTTCCGCGACGTTCTTCTGAGGGGCGAGCGCGTCGCATCAAGCTAACGACTTTTTCAAGTTGAATTCCTTTTCGGTATTACTGACCCGGTATTGGTGTTGAATTGTAGGAGTCTGGATTTGTGGCCGCGCCGACGCATGTTTTGGGGGCCGTCCGAGAAAGACTTACGCAAACTACCAATGCAACAGACACACACAACAAACACATGCGCGTTACAACCAGTATATGTCCGTGAGAAGCAGACCAAGACATGCACTTAGTTACGACGCTGGGCTTTTGGGAGGGATCCAGATCTAGTTTTTTCTGTTTTCCGTGACGAACAACCACCTTTCTGAAAAACGATCGGGGAGTCGTAACGCTGTCCTCTTTCGGTTTTTGTCACCCTAGTTGCGATCCCAATTGAGGCAGTTTTGCTGCTAACGCACGGAGTCATATACTGCCTTTGGTGCACAGCAAACAAGCGTGGACAAAAAGATCAACCAAAACAAAAGTAGATAAAACAATATGAAAAAGAAACTAAAAACAACACGCCCGACAAACCCAACACCGCGGCGCTGGTGCAACAAACCACCGCAAACCAAAAGTGACAAACGTTTGTAACTATTTCAAAACGGTCTGTTCCCGGAGAGGCGACGTGTGCACAGAGGTGATTCGTTTCTTTTGAAATCGGAGGACAAACAAGGCAGTCGCGGCACCCAGCCGCTCTTGTTTGCCCCGCTAACTGGATCAGGTCGCCATGCTCGCCTCCCTTCCGCGTCAGAATTGAAAAAATTAGGAAGAACGAAAATAATAAAACTAAATAAATAAATATGGAAAGCGAATAGGGAAAGCCCCGCAGCGGGCGCAGTCGTCTCTGCCGCGGCGCCTCCCCTCCCCTCCCCTCCCCCTCCCCTCCCCCTCCCCTCCCCCCCTCCCCCTCCCCCCCTCCCTCCCCCTCCCCTCCCCCTCCAAACTAAATAAGGAAAACTGTCCGGGAGGCTGCCGCGCGCTGCCGCGGGCTTAAGGCACGAGGAGAACGGGGTGGGCCTCAAAGCCCAGACGGGACGACCGCGGACTAGCCGCGATGCGACCTACTTATTCAATCCGTGATCCACTTTCGACGCGGTTTTCTGTCGCTCTCTCATTTTAATGCCGCATTCCCTCGGCCTGTTTCGATCATCAGCTCAGCTCTCTACGCTCCCCTCCCTTTGGAGCGCCACGCTCGATATCTTTGGCGGCAACTCGATTCTCGATGCAATGCACTCTGGCGGCACAGCGCGCGGGGCGCCTCGCGGGGACCCCAGCCCCCGGTGGGGCTCCGAGCTAAATCCCCGACAGCCCCTCGGAGCCGCCGGCCCCGGCGGGGCGGGGGCACGCAAGGGCGCCGCTGGCTTAAGGGGTTAAATTAACCGATAATGAACAAAGACTTTGTCGCGTCATAGAGCGGCCGACGACCCTTATTCGCTCCGCCCTCCAAATTGAAAAAGCAGGGAGGGAAAACAGTGGAGGAGGTCGAGGCCCCGACTTTATTCTGGCGAGGGAAACCAACGAAAAAAAAAACGCTGCAACCGGCTGCAACGCGTGTGAGCCTCGTCATGCGCCGCCTGACCGCGCCGAGCGGCGGCGGATCCACTACTTTTAGCCCCCCCCCTTCCCCGCCCCCCTCCCGCTCCTGGCAAAGCTCTCCTCCTTTCTGGACTAGTGGTATTGATGAATGGAGGCGGCCGACGTCGCCATCACGAGGGATATATCAGTAGCCCCGAGGCGCCCCCCCCCTTTCCCCCTGCAGCCTGCGAGAGCCCTGAGCCGTCGGCGGCCTGCGGGCCTCGGGGGGCAGCTTAGGGAGACGCGGCTATAGCTGCTATAGTGGCGGGTAAAGAATGGAATCTGCTTTAGGCCGGCCGGGGCTCTTCGCGCGCGCCTTCGTCTACGGCCCGCTTCTTCGCCACTCGGCGCGCGGAGCCCCCCCCCCCCCCGCGCCACTGATTATCCGCACACACGGCGGGCAGGCACCGCGCCGCTGCGCACCAAAGGGGTCCGCTACATTTCAATCAGAAAAGCCAATCCGCTGCATGTGCACGACGTCGCGGAGTTTGGGAGGGGGGGAAGGGGGCTGGGTCGGGTCCTCGGGTACGGGCCGCGCGGGGCGGGGCAGACTTCGCCTGCACTGGAAAGGGGGCGGGGGGGGGGGGACGCAGCAGCAGGGCCTGCCCGGCCTGCCTGCCCGGCCTGCCAGCCCGCGCCGAGTTTCAACGAGCAGACTACGCCACTTTAATGGCCCCGGGCTCACGGGGCGGGGCGGGGCGATAGAGCGAGACGCTTTGAAAAAACTCGTTGGCTCTGCGAGTCTCAAAGACCGCGCGCGGCGCGGCCGGGCCCGGCAGTCGGGGCGGGACATTTTTCAAAGCGAGGCCGCGCGGCGCAGCGCCGCCTCACGTCGGCCGGCGTAACGGGTGGGTGTTGAGGTAAAAAAAAAATTATGAGAAAATAAATAAAAATATTAAGGGAGGCTTTAGGGCCGGCTGTCAAAAGCATGGCGTGGCACGGCACGGCACGGCGGCGTGCCCCCGGGCAGCGTGTTCCACTTAGCGACGCCACCCGGCCGGAGTGATATTTTCGTTTTGATATAATTCCGATTCGGAGTGATGCCTGTGACGCCATCCACAGCCGTCACCAGCCACCCCCTCTCTTTCCAACCCCCGCCACCGCGCGCACACACAATGTCACAGCAATCCCAGCCATAATAACAATAACTTAGTTTGAGAAAAAAAAGTTGGTGGACCGCGGGGGGAGAAACTGTCACTGAACGCCGCGGCGCCCCGCGCTTCGCACTTCCCGATTTCTCATACTCACTCCGCGTTGGTCTCCGGCGTGGGCAGGTCCCCGATGGTGGTGAGCGTGAGCGTGGACCAGTACAGCGAGCCGAGGTACTTCCTGGTCAGCGTCGAGTACTCGCCCGGCCGGTACGGGTACACCCAGTCGCCCTGCGGACAAGCGAACCGTTTAATGGAAAACAGAGAAGGCGGGGAGAGGGTCTTGAACCCGAGACACGCGCCGAGGCGATGGGGAAAGTACATGCGCTCGCTTCGTGGAAGCGGTCGCGGGGGTGTTTGCGACACGTACACCTACCCCTTCCCCCTGGAAAAAGAAACTGGCGACTTTCACGTGCCAAGTCGAAGCGGGCGGGAACGGCTGCGGGGCTCCAGAGCATAATAAACGTGCGGGGGGCTTCTGCTGTACATTGTCAGGGGCCAATCATTTTATAGTGGCTTGTTATACAGTTATACGGCCCATGGGGGGATCTGCAGACTGATTCCGAGAGTCGCTTTCGTCGCTCTGTCTCTCTCGCACGCAGGGTGCGTCGCTGGTGCGAGAGAGACGGGGCGCCGAAAACGGCTCTCGGAATCAGTCTGCTGGGCCGGGCTGGCGGCCGGGCTGGCGGCCGTCCCGGCGGCGGTTGTAGGCACAGAAAAACGGACAGGACCTCCTGGATGGGGTCCGGGATGGCGTCCGGGATGGGGGAGAGGGGAGCATCCCTATCGATTGTCGCCCCCAACCAGGGCCCTCCTCCCCATGCCATTTCGAGCGTGCAATAGGGGCCCCGGCGCGGCCCGGCCCTGCCTGCTTGTACCTATCCCAATGGGTCCCACTCGCGCGGCAACGCGTGGCACGCCGCCATGACGCCATGTGGCGTGGCACGGCGTGGCACGGTGGCCCGGGTGGTGGTGTTGATGACAGGTCTGCCAGAAAGGCCTCGCGACTCCCAACTCCGGGGCGGCCGTGCCGAGGTCGGGGACCGCGCGAGGCGGGGCTCGCGACCTGCGGGCTCTCTCTCGCGCGCCCCCACGGGACGCCTCAAGAGTGCGAGAGAGACAGAAGCAGCCGGCAGGTCATCCGCTAATTCAGAGAGGGAGTCACTCGCCCTGAAGAGACACTCTGGAGGGTTCGCACGGCGCTATTCCTCAAGAACCATCAGCAAAAGCGGGGGCGTCAACAAAGAAGCAGCGCGACGAGACAAACATGGTGAGTGCCCCGGCCGGGCTGATCACGAACGACGGCGTCGCTCTCTCTCGCACGCACGGGGGGCTCCGTCGGGGTGCGAGGGAGACAGAGCGACGTTCAGCCCGGCGCGCGCCCACGCCCTCCAATTGACTTCTTGATCCCGACGCCATCCGGTCGACTGCCGACGCCGAGCGGAGAGGGATAGACAAATGATCCGAGCGGGTACACACAGGTTTTCCGCACGGCCCGCCAGACAAAGTGGTCCCCGTCGCGTCGTCCTCCCCGTCGACCTCCCCGTCTCCGTTCGGCTCTGCTTCGCCCTTCCAGCCGGCCGCGCGCTAAACACGGTTCGACTTGGCGGGGCGCTGGACCCGGACCGGCGCCGACGCCGCCTTGACGACCGCCCTGCCGGGGAGTCCAGGCCCGTCCAGCCCGCCGGGCGCTGCCGCAACTCAAACTACGCGTCGCGCCGCCCTGCGCCGCTCTGCGGGTCCGCAGACATCCAGAGACGTCGCGGCCACGCTGCGAGATGTTGACTGAGCGACCGAAAGGCTTTGTTTGCAGTGTCATCCTTCTCCGCCAATATGCAGGCGGGGTTGGCGAACGCTGCCCTCCCGGAGGGGCCTGGCGGGGCGGGGCGGGGCGGGGCGGGGCGGGGCGGGGCGCGAGGTTGGTCGCACTGGTCACGTTGCGCGGAGCACGGCCAGGGACGTGCTACTCGGTATCGGCTTTTGCGAAAAAATGACATAAAAAGCATCACGGAAAAAAAATGAGAAAAACATTATCGCCGCCGGTCTGCCCGCGGTCCAAGTTTGGGTGTCCACCTTGACACCTCGCTCCATCTGTCCTTGCCGCCTCGCTCAAATTTCCAGGCGCCGTGTAGTCACGCCGCCTCGCTGCTTGGCAGGCCGACTGCGCGATAAATCAAAGCACACTGACTCCGAGAGGGCGCTCTGTCTCTCTCGCACTGACGGGGATGCGCCGTCTGAGAGGGAGAGAGAGAGAGAGAAAGAGAGAGACCGACAGACCGAAAGAGCGGCCGCCTCACCGCCCGGCTAACCCTTGCTTGGTCCAGCCCCGAGGCTGCCCCGAGGCTGCCAATGCACCCTAAGGACCCCCTCCGGGACTCGCCGGCCGAGGGCCCCCGAGGGAAGGCTCCCGAGGGAGGCCCCCCCACGTCCGTATTTCACTTTTAGGGGACAAAGTAGTCGGGAAGTTGCGATTCTAGAGCCAAGCCTCGCTGAGCCTGGAACACGACACCGCGTGCGCGCGCCTTTATATGTTTTTTCCTGCTGGTACGGCCGCTGTGAGAAATATAGGCCTCGAGTTTCCGGATTGTGGCTGGCGGGGAGGGGGAGGGGGAAGGGAGAGGGGAGAATGGTACTGAGGCGCCAAGCAGCGGTCCGGCGAAACGCCTGCGGGATCGGGGATAGGCAACCCGACGCGCTGCCGTGTCGGCTTATTGCCTACCCTCCATCTTGCAGGCGCTCGCGGTGCGGCGCTGACAGAGAGAGAGAGGAAGCGAAGCGAGTCAACTTCCAACACAAACACGCGTGAGATGCCAGCCCAGGACAGAGCCTCACATATGTCATCACCCCGTGCCCCGAGCCCCTGCAAACGCCTCGCCTCCCAAACTCGAGCCTTGCCGGCGGCACTGAGGTCGGACTACACTGCAGAAATCGGGCTCTGCTATCCCTCGATTGAGCAAACGGGAAATAAAGGAAAGTTTTGAGAAAACCCTTCGTCAGCCATTAAATTGGTCGGGGTGGCGAGGGCGGGCGAAGGGTCTGCGCATTGGCCTCCGCTCGGCCGGAGTACGGAGCACTGCGGAGCACGGCGTAAGGAGCAGGCAAAGTTTTAAGCAGCAGACGGCCTCGGGGAGAACGGGATGGGCACCGAAGGAGCCACGGTCCGTCCCGCGGTCCGTGCCGCAGTCCGCGGCCCGCGCGTGCAAGTGGCCCGCTCGGCCGTTCGAACCATTGTGCCGAGCCGAGGCGGCGCGGTCTTTTGCAGCGCAACTTTCCCGCACAACTGATTTTCTCTGCGGTAATTGTGGCAGTGCCGCTATGCAACTACTGGCTGCGGCGGCGCCAGGCTGTTTAACGGAGAAGAGAGGAAGAAAAAAAGACGCTGAGTTGGACCGAACGAATGAATAGCAGTGCGGCGTAACCGGAGATGGATGCCCGCCCCTTCCCCTCCCCTCCCCCTCCGCCTCAGTATGCTTCCCTTTTCCGGCCAAGTAACCAGGGCGATGGCCGGGAAGTAACGCGCGCCGACTCGACCGAAGCAAAATAAAGTAGTACCTCATCGCGGGGCAGATCAGCATGCCATGGCGCGGCCGTGGCCAGGCCGTGGCATGACCATGACCATGACGGGGCCCGGGGAGAGTGACTCCGACAAAAAGGGACGTGTTAGGGGGCGGCACGACGCGAAAAACAAGACGCAAAAAAGGAGAAGTTTTTAGTGCACGCATCAGTGCCCCGCGCGCCGTGCGGCTCGGGGGGCAGACTCCCGCCCGAAAGTCAACGGACACGAAACGTCTCCGAGAGAAAGGAAAGGGTAGCCGGGGCACTCTCCTTATACAATGACCTCGGCTACATTCATGCGGTTGCGTCCCGCAACAACAACGATGATGCTACTTGTACCGGAGGAGGACGAGACCCACCGCCTCTCTCTCTCTCTCTCTCTCTCTCTCTCTCTCTCTCTCTCTCTCTCTCTCTCTCTCTCTCTCTCTCTCTCTCTCTGTGTGTCTCCCATTGCTGCGCAAGACTCGGGGCACCTCGGGGCGCCGGTGAGCAACACGGCGATAGCACTCTCTCTCTCCCTCGCACTCGTGGGACGCATCCACCGGTGCGAGAGAGACGGCGATAGCCGCGAATAATCCTGCATTACTATTCCCGGCGGCTCCGCCTGGGCTCCGCGCTCCGCACCGTGCCGAGCATCGCGGCTCACCCACGCCCCGCCCCGCCCGTCTCCCACTCGACTCGGTTAAAAGACATTTTATGAGTATTCCGAAGCCGGAGGGGCGGTACTGCATTTCCGCCCATCGAAACGGGGCGGATCGTCGCACCCTGATTTGGAAAGGCCAGATGAAAGTGGGAGCCAGACAGAGGGGCTGGCTGGGGACTGACCTGGAATTTCTCGTGTTGGCTCAGCAGGAAGTAGAAGCAGCCGAACCAGTGGGCCAGCACCAGCAGGATGTGGATGAGGTTGACGACTCGCCAGAGGTTGGGGTACACGGTGCGGGACTCCACCATGTAGTAGTAGTGGTAGACGCGGTAGGCCTTGAGGAAGCGGGGGAAGCGCAGGATGGGGTTGATGCCCACGTTGAACTGCAGCAGGTCCAGAGGCAGCAGCGAGCCCAGGTCCAGAAGGAAGGCCCTGGACTGCATGTAGTGGCCCGCCAGCTTCTTCGAGTCGTACACCTGCACAGCGGAACAAGACGGCTTAGGATCCAAAGCCCCGCTCACTGTTGTGAAATGAATAATTCCTGAGGCTCACCATCAAGCCCTGCTCCAGGTAACCCGTCCGGAACTGCACCACCACGTCCAGCAGAAACACGATGTCGGAGAAACCGTCCGCCGAGAACCACAGCCCCGTCGCCATGTCCTGGAACACACAGTCGCCATTAGCACACAGAGTCTGTAAAAGCTGTAAAAACTCAGTTAAATTCACCGGGCCTCACTTGTAACTCCGGGAAGCTCTGGCGCACGATGAGCGTCCACACGTTGTAGAGGACGCAGACGGTGAGCAGCATCAGCCAGTAGAAGTAGAAGTTCTCGTCCGGGTTGACCACCGTCCTGGACAGCCGCTGCCGCCGTCGTCGTCGCCGCCGCCGCCGGCTGTTCTCGGAGCGGCCGCCGCCCGAGCTGGAGCACGACCCGCCCTCGCCGTCGTCGCCGGTGTCCACGGTCTCCTGCGCCAAGGCATGCCTGCTGAGATGGTGCGCGGTCTAGCGCGGCGGCCCGGGGCGCGCGGCGTGGCGGGGAAGCGGCGCTACCACTAGGACAGCGGTTCTCAACCTTTCTCGGCTCGCGACCCCAAATTTGGAGCCAAAAATTTCCGCGACCCCCAGGAAAAGTTTCACGACCCCACGGGACCCCTCCTTTAGCATGCCACTGCGTCTGATCCGAGGCGGGCATTTTGCTCCCTCAACGGGCAATTGGTCTTTGAACCTTCCTTTAGCATGCCTTTGTTACGGAGTGTGATTTTCAGTCTTAGTTTGGGAGCAGTATTGTCTCAAAGTTGGCCAAAACGCTCAGAAATGTCTTTGAAAAATCATGTTTTGGGTCGATTTTAAGCAGCCACTGCGTCTGATCCGAGCCGGGCATTTTGCTCCCTCAACGGGCAATTGTTCTTTGGACCTTCCTTTAGCATGCCTCTGTTACGGAATGCGATTATCAGTCTTAGTTTGGGAGCAGTATTGTCTCAAAGTTGGCCAAAACAGTCACAACGGTTTTTCAAAGACATTTCTGAGCGTTTCGGCCAACTTTGAGACAATACTGCTCCCAAACTAAGACCGATAATCACACTCCGTAACAAAGGCATGCTAAAGGAAGGTTCAAAGACCAATTGCCCGTTGAAGGAGGACGAAATACCGCCTCGGGTCAGACGCAGTGGCTGCTTAAAATCGGCCCAAAACACGATTTTTCAAAGACATTTCTGACCGTTTTGGTAAACTTTGAGACAATACTGCTCCCAAACTAAGACTGATAATCACACTCCGTAACAAAGGCATGCTAAAGGAAGGTTCAAAGACCAATTGCCCGTTGAAGGAGCAAAAATGCCCGCCTCGGATCAGACGCAGTGGCTGCTTAAAATCGGCCCAAAACACGACCCCAGCTACCTCGCCGCGACCCCTTAAAATTTTTTCGCGACCCCGCTTGGGGTCAGGTTGAGAACCACTGCACTAGGACTAGACTAAGCGCGGCTCGCTGCTAACACTTGGTCCCCGCGCGACACATCAGCAAGTAGTTTGGCGTGCGGCCCCGTCCCTAGCCCTCGTTTCCCGGTTTCCCACGCACTGCAGCAAGTGGCAGTCCACCGCAAGTTAGGCGCCCCTCCCTCCCGCTGCCCCGCCGACGAGCCTGCCGAGCCCTGGAGGACTTGGAACTGTCAGCGAGCCTCCGTACTGGCGGTACTGGCAAGCCGCAGCACTATTGGTGTGGGGGCGGCGTGGCCTGCCTGCCAGCCCCGTCCGTCCCACCACGCTCCCACGGTGCATTCAGAAACTGCCCCCGGGCCTCGGGTCGGGCGGCCAGGCAGGCAGGCAACCTCCAGGGGCGACCCGGAAGCGTCGCATCAGCCAAGCCGTGCCGTGCCGTCCTGTGGCGTGCCTCCGCTGCCCTGCACTGGCAGTGCCGGCTTCGCCTGCTTCGAGAGTTCGGACGCGAGTTTCAAGGCCTCCCCCTTCCCCTCCCCCCACACACCACCCCGTCTTTCCCGCGGAAACAATGTGTCCAATCAGGAGGCTCGGCCACCTTCAGACCCTGCATATCCCCGAGTGTGTGTGTGAAGGTGTCTGTGTGTGTAGGTGGGTAGGTGTAGGTGTTTGTGTGAGTAGGTGGTTGTGTGTGCGGGACAAGGCAAGATTTCCTCGTCCGCGCCGTGCCTCTTCGAGGGCATGCTCCTTGTCTCGGTGAACAGGGCCGGGCCGAGCCAAGCCCTGCAGAGGGCCCGGTCGCGCTATTGTGGACCTCCATCGAGTACCCCGTGCCTTCGTTAGGGCCGAGGCCAGCAGGCCCTAGGCTGGTGTTCCGTCGAGTGCATTGGCCGCGCCAACAAGAGTATCTTTGTTCGGGGCCCCGCCTGCCCGGCCTGCCCGGCCTGCCCAGCAGACGATGCAGGGCACGACCAAGGCCAGCGGTTCGCCGAGTCATCAATTCCACCCCTTCTCCTTCCACCTTGCGCCCACCCCCTCTCCGAGCCCCTCTCCCAACTCTCTGCATGTCTCTCGTTTACGACCGCCAGGAAAAGGAGCCCCAACGAGGGAGGCGGTCCGCCGACCGCCTTGCCTCACGCCGCGACGCGGGGAGACGAACCCGCGACCCGCGGCTCTGCAAGCGGAAGCTCTACCGACTCGGCCACCCCTCCCACGCGAGGGGTCGCTGCAAAAGTGAAGGCAATCTCTACCTTCTGCGGCGCCGCGCCACAACAATGTCTCTCCATTTTTATGCGCAGCGTTATACCGCACTATTAGCAGTAAAGTGGAACAAGCCGGGCAGATGCGGCTGGGCTCGCCGTCGAGGCCCTCGTCGTCCTCGTCGTCCTCGAGGACCACCGCCGCAAAAGGGGTCGCGGTTTACGCGCGGAGTATCGACACAGGACCCTCGAGGAGTCCTGAATCACCACCATTTATGGGCCCGTTTAGCACGCAACTACGCCACTGGCTGCAGGCTCAGCGCGTTGGCCGCGCTGGCCGCGCTGTCGCGTCAGACGTTGGCTGCTACTCTACGCCTACCAGACCAGCCAGGCAGAAACTTTCCAACACGCATCAGCCTCCAATGCTTGCAAGGCAGCACTGCGCCTAAGCGACAACCACTATCTATCTACACCCTCCTGGATTTCGTCTCCTGATCGGGTATGAAACGGGCAGTGCACCAAAGCGCGGGACACTCACCTGGGCCTCGGCGATCTGCCTGGTGGAGAAGCGCTTGAGGAACGAGTCCTCGCGCTTGAGCGGCGGCTTGGACTTCTGGATGGTGGAGGTGATGGCGCCGGACAGCTGCACGGTGGTCCGCAGCTTCATCCATCTCTGGTTGCTCTTGGTCCTAGCAACAGAGGCGGCGAGTCAGCGCCGGGGCAGAGCGGGCCGGCCAGAGCCGCAATCCGTTTTAGAGGGCAGGGGAGGGGAGGGGAGGGAGTCAGTTTGGCTTTTGTAATTAAAACGACTTGCCACGGACCGGCGGGCAACACAACCGCCGGACAGAAATTCCAAGCGTAAGCTTTTTAAAGTCGTCGCCACTTTATTTAGGGGAGTATGCAACGGAAGGTTGCAACATGAACTACCCAATTTTTATAATTCGCTTCAGCGCTTGCAAGAAACGTGTTTATTCCAAGCGTTCTCATGATGATCAATTTAGTATTTGGCATCAGAATGTGCCGTCCATTCAAGGATAACGGGACGAGTGTTGTGGAAGACGTGTGGTGGTGGCGGTTGACAATGAACCTGCCGTACTACGTTTGTACACTTCGGCCGCAGTAAACTTCTACAACACCAAACAGCCAACTACGTCTCACAAGAGTTATCAGGGCCAGTTTCTATCTGAAATCATCTATTTAAGAGCAGAACTTGCATTCAAAAAGGTGGTTGTACGAAACATGACTTATTCAGAGCAAACTAAACACTTTGTAACGCAACATTGAAAAGCAGACAGGTAATGCACACGTACCTATTACAAGTATGGTTACTACACACTGTACAGTATCATCTGCCACCATAAACACTAACACACACATGCTAAAAAGATGACCGTAAAACATGCACACACACGCACACACACTCAATCGCGCAATCCAATAGACTGAGAGCAAAGTACAGAAGAGAAAGACAAATATATTATGCAAGAAAAAAGAAGTTGATAAGAGGAGAGAGGTAAGACAGCAGGGTTCTCAAAACTCATCCTGAACAATGCGATTTCTGAAAGAGAAAGAAATCATGAAATGCATACAAGACGAAAGTAGACTACGCTAAAGACAAGAAGAACAACCAAACCATAGTGCGTTTCGGGTCCGCTTTCATTCTCAGATTTCATAGATGAACCGAAGGCTAAGGCTTTTATGGTGTAACAAGTAACTACCGAGAAGGCCAAACATTTCGACTCAATTTGAAAACGGAACCTGAATCACACTCACACTTTTTTTCTAAACACGAATACATATTTACAGTAGAGTTACAGTAAGAGTTTGTTAACTACACAGTGGAAAATGTACAGTATGGAACAACCCTTTTACCCCACATAACGCATCATGCAGAGTAAAGCCTATCACGAAAATGCAGCCTCACATTCGTTGGTTATAACAAGCATAACAAAATATTTTATTTTTTAAGTAAAATGTTACAAAAGTGTTTTATTCAAAACGTTTAACAAAGGGAAAGAGGATTCACTTAAAATTAATGAGATAATGTTATGTATTATTTATGTCATGTATGAAGGGAGTTGTTCATTTCTCCTACCTAAATGTTCGCCTACCTGTCTATTTCGCCTACCTATATTTCGCCTACCTAATAAAAATATTGAATAAAAATATTCAATAAAATATTACCATTTTTCGCCTACCTATAGTTCGCCTACCAAATATAAAAATTTAATAAAAATATTCAACAAAAAAACGAAAAAATCGGCGGCAAAAAGTGGCAATACGAAAGTCTCAAGGAGACCCGCCGATCAGCTTCGGTGTTCTTATGGGAACCGGGCCTTCATCCGACGCTCCCTGCCGCGCAATTCGACAGATTAGTGGGTTCGTATTAGGCTGGCCCACCCGAAGTGCGCGCGGTTTCTGTGGTACAGTGAGAGTCCAGATTCAGAGGCCTTACCTCAGAGGGGTCACATTGGGTATTTGAACCCGCGACCCCGAGTGCCGAGTCTAGTCAACTCCTCTACCCTGACCGCTCAGCCACCGAACCAGCTTGTCGGTGGCGATGTCGCAACTCCTCTTGAGCTGCCGTTCGAGAAATCTGGTCCCGAAAAAATGGTACTTTGAGCGGTCTCGAACCCGGGACCTGCTGCTTCCCACATCATGCTCTTAACAACTGAGCCACCGGGACGCCATGGCACCCGCCCTGCCTGCGCTGGTACTCAATCTTCTCTGGATGTACCTCCCCAAGCAATTGGTCGCCGAAAAAATTGTGTATACTACCGGTCCCGAACCCGGGACCTGCTGCTTCCCACATCATGCTCTTAACCACTGAGCCACCGGGACGCCATGGCACCCGCCCTGCCTGCGCTGGTACTCAATCTTCTCTGGATATACCTCCCCAAGCAATTGGTCGCCGAAAAAATTGTGTATACTACCGGTCCCGAACCCGGGACCTGCTGCTTCGCACATCATGCTCTTAGCCACTGAGCCACCGGGGCGCCATGGCACCCGCTCTGCCTGCGCTGGTACTCAATCTTCTCTGGATGTACCTCCCCAAGCAATTGGTCGCCGAAAAAATTGTGTATACTACCGGTCCCGAACCCGGGACCTGCTGCTTCCCACATCATGCTCTTAACCACTGAGCCACCGGGACGCCATGGCACCCGCCCTGCCTGCGCTGGTACTCAATCTTCTCTGGATATACCTCCCCAAGCAATTGGTCGCCGAAAAAATTGTGTATACTACCGGTCCCGAACCCGGGACCTGCTGCTTCGCACATCATGCTCTTAGCCACTGAGCCACCGGGGCGCCATGGCACCCGCTCTGCCTGCGCTGGTACTCAATCTTCTCCGGATATACCTCCCCGAGCAATTGGTCGCCGAAAAAATTGTGTCTACTACCGGTCCCGAACCCGGGACCTGCCGCTTCCCACATCATGCTCTTAACAGCTGAGCCACCGGGACGCCATGGTACCCTCCCTGCCAGAGCTGGTACTCAATCCTCTCCGAATAAACCTCGTCAAGAAGTCGGTTGCCTCTGCCGAAAAATATGGTCATGGTACTAGTCTCGAACCCGAGACCTGCCAGTCAGGAGCGCAGCACTCCAACCACTGTGCTACTTGGTTGCTACGCACAGCGCTCACCCCATCGCCGAAGTTATTATTTGTCCAGCATCAAGCAAGATGGGTGGCTATTGAAGTTTGGCGCTAGGTTAATGGCGTGCATAGCAACCTGGTAGCGCCGTGGTTAGAGTGCTGCGTTCCTGACTGGCAGGTCTCGGGTTCGAGGCTAGTGCCATGAGCATATTTTTCGGCAGAGGCAACCGACTTCTTGACGAGGTCTATCCAGAGAGGAATAAGTACCAGCGCTGGCGAGGCAGGTGCCATGGCGTCCCGGTGGCTCAGCGGTTAAGAGCATGATGTGGGAAGCGGCAGGTCCCGGGTTCGGGACCGGTAGTATACACAATTTTTTCGGCGACCAATTGCTTGGGGAGGTATATCCAGAGAAGATTCAGTACCAGCGCAGGCAGGGCGGGTGCTATGGCGTCCCGGTGGCTCAGTGGTTAAGAGCATCACTGTTAAAAAAAAAGTCGAAATTTTCAGACTTTTTAGGATGAAGTCAATTTTGAAACCCAGTGGTCTGAATTTTCAGACCCCCGGACACTCTGAATTTTTGGACCACCTGTCGTCTGAATTTTCAGACTCACAAGTACTTAGAATTTTACGACTACTAGGTGGTCTGAATTTTCGGACTAATGGCAGTCTGAATTTTTCACCTCGCGGGTTTGAATTCTATGCCGCCCAGGTAATAAAATTACCACTTTTGTCAGGATGTATATTAGGTTTTGGGGATGCATGTTTTAAATTGCTGAGAAACATGGAATGCATGCACTAAATAGAGCAGTTGTAAAACAGCTCTTGTTGTTAAATGTAGCACCCAAAGTTGCGCAAGACTTTAACTAGATATGATATTTTGCTGAGAGAGCTTCCCAAAAAAAAAACTAGTCCTCGAATGTAAGACTCCAGAAGATGCAGCTGTAAACACTGGAAAGCAGCATGTTGGATCCAGATGCACACTTTGTGGAAACTTTTTCGGCACGATGAAAATACTTTGGGGACGAGGATGAAAGAGGAGTGACAAATTTCCAAAACGCCACCCACTCGCTCATCACCCGTCCCTTTAGTTTGGAAGACGCAATATCAGTATAAGGCTACGCCACTTTCACAGCCTGCTTGCCGCGGATTTCGGATGCTTCAGAGTGGTGACTGCACGCACCCATAAGCAATTTTGGAGCACGGAAAGGCGAAGGCAAAACGGCACTGTACACACTGTGCTGAGCGCCGATGTAACACATAAAACTTTGCTTCACGACGGAGCGTCACAAGAAAGATGACACGCGACGCGGACTTGTATTCGGATGCGATGTGCACTGCTCTGGAGACAAGCTAAAACTGACGCATTCTGTCTAGAAATCCCGAGTGGCCGAGGGATTAAGGGCCCCTCCTCTCCCCCCGCCCCGCGCAGGTAGGCTTCGGCCGGCACGCCGGTCCGCGGTGATTTTCCGAACGCCCCGGCTCGGCTCGGTGTGCCAGGCTCGGCTGGCCGCCGCCGGAGCGGCTCGGCTCGGGTGACCAGGGCTTCGGTCCAGGCCGGAACCAGGGCAAACATGTCGCATCCTGCAGCTACCAGCGGAGTGCAGGCTGATTTTAAACTCAACACTAGACGGCCGTTCGCATAGCTGAGCAAAAGTCTATTTACTACTGCTCTAGCAATTCAGGGTACATAGCACCTGAAACGCAGTCATGCCTTTTATCAGAAAATAAAGCGTCAATTTCAGACTGCGCAGGATGAAAATTCAGACCTTTTACTACAAATGACTGTTTTAAGACCCCGACGCCGAAAATTTATACCGCGCCATCCAAATATTCAGACTCTTGAGTCCGAAACTCATTTTTCAGACCACAAGGTGTAAAATTAAGACCAACTGTCTGAAAATTCTGACTCAAGTCTGAATTTCAGATTCAGACCACTAGGTCTGAAAAAATTGGTCTGAATTTTCAGACTTTTTTTAACAGTGATGATGTGCGAAGCAGCAGCTCTCGGGGTTCGGGACCGGTAGTATACACAATTTTTTCGGCAACCAATTGCTTGGGGAGGTATATCCAGAGAAGATTCAGTACCAGCGCAGGCAGGGCGGGTGCTATGGCGTCCCGGTGGCTCAGTGGTTAAGAGCATGATGTGGGAAGCAGCAGGTCCCGGGTTCGAGACCGCTCAAAGTACCATTTTTTCGGGACCAGATTTCTCGAACGGCAGCTCAAGAGGAGTTGCGACATTGCCGCCGACAAGCTGGTTCGGTGGCTGAGCGGTTACGAGCACGTAGTGGGAAGTGGCAGGTCCCGGGTTCGGGACCGGTAGTATACACAATTTTTTCAGCAACCAATTGCTTGGGGAGGTATATCCAGAGAAGATTGAGTACCAGCGCAGGCAGGGCGGGTGCCATGGCGTCCCGGTGGCTCAGTGGTTAAGAGCATGATGTGCGAAGCAGCAGGTCCCGGGTTCGGGACCGGTAGTATACACAATTTTTTCGGCGACCAATCGCTTGGGGAGGTACATCCAGAGAAGATTGAGTACCAGCGCAGGCAGGGCGGGTGCCATGGCGTCCCGGTGGCTCAGTGGTTAAGAGCATGATGTGGGAAGCAGCAGGTCCCGGGTTCGAGACCGCTCAAAGTACCATTTTTTCGGGACCAGATTTCTCGAACGGCAGCTCAAGAGGAGTTGCGACATCGCCACCGACAAGCTGGTTCGGTGGCTGAGCGGTCAGGGTAGAGGAGTTGACTAGACTCGGCACTCGGGGTCGCGGGTTCAAATACCCAATGTGACCCCTCTGAGGTAAGGCCTCTGAATCTGGACTCTCACTGTACCACAGAAACCGCGCGCACTTCGGGTGGGCCAGCCTAATACGAACCCACTAATCTGTCGAATTGCGCGGCAGGGAGCGTCGGATGAAGGCCCGGTTCCCATAAGAACACCGAAGCTGATCGGCGGGTCTCCTTGAGACTTTCGTATTGCCACTTTTTGCCGCCGATTTTTTCGTTTTTTTGTTGAATATTTTTATTAAATTTTTATATTTGGTAGGCGAACTATAGGTAGGCGAAAAACGGCAATATTTTATTGAATATTTTTATTCAATATTTTTATTAGGTAGGCGAAATATAGGTAGGTGAAATAGACAGGTAGGCGAACATTTAGGTAGGAGAAATGATATAGACTCTGTATGAAGGCAGATAAGAGAAGTATTAGTTGAGAAGGCGGAAAAAGAAAACTACAGATTGAAAAAAGTGCAACAGGCCAACCAACATTATAAACAGAACTTTTTCTAAAAACTCTCCTAGTAAGGGCATATTTTTTACGGTTTAACTTATATGTACAGACTTTTGATACACAATCAATCTTACTTAAATACAACCTCGACACAAATACTCATGTGTCGAAACGTGCTAAAATTAAATTTGAAAGGGGCTCCAGAAAAATAAGTGGACGAAATTGCAGGCAGAGAGAGGAATGTAAACAGAGGAGGCTGTGATGCGTTTCAAGAATGGTACATAAAAAGGTTTGGCGAGGAATGAAAATATGGATATAGGAAAGAGGAACTGGAGAAACGCAAGGAAGAGAAAAAAGTTGACTTTGGACTGAGGGTGGTTTAAACTATCAAAAAATGTTTCCTTTTCTTAAATTTATCAAAACGTGTTGTCAATCAGTATAAGGCAATGTCGTGGCTGAAAAGAAACCGGAGTCAGATGAGAAAAGGGAAGAAAATTCCTTGCGTCTCTCCGAACTACAACCCTGGAGCCCCGAAACGAGTACAGGCCATGCCGGTCGCGGGCTGCCAGTTGACAGCCTGTGGGCAGCCAGTTGGTAGCTTGGTCCTGCCAAATTGGCAGTGGCAGCTGCAGCAGCAGCCCGGTACCTCTTGATGGTGCGCAGGCGGGTGTAGAGCGCCAGCACGGCTCGGACGTGTTGCCACTTCTGCTTGCCAGTGGAGGAGTGCGGCGGAGGGCTACTGCTGCTGCGGGCATGGCAGACGACACACCGGGTCAGACACCATCTTGCGTCCAACAATATTTCCTCCACGCATGCTAAAATTGGCGGAAAAAACTGGCAAGAAAAAGAGAGCGGGAAAGAAAACTGACATTGTGGTGCAGAGTCATGGAAAATGCACAAAGTCGAAACACGCACAGATCCCAAAGAGTGGAAAAAAAGACATGCATCCAAGTAGTAAAGTGTAGAAAAAGTCGAAAAAAGAGGGAGAAGAGGATGGCATCCGGAGAAGGTGTCAAAGAATCATGCGAAGAAAAATGAGTCGACAAAGAGATCGTTATCGCTGCGCGCGCAAGCCGAAACCTGGGAGGGATTGAACAGGACTGGCAGCGAGCACCGGCGTGGCCAAGCCCTGCATGGGGCGGACCAGCCGACTGATTCCAAGAGTCGTTTTCGTTGCTCTCTCTCACGCCTGTGCGGGACGCCCCAGAGTGCGGGTGAGTCAGAGCGACTCTCAGTCCGGACGGCCGAAGGGTCGGAGGGCTCGATGCATAATCACCCCACCTGCCAGCAGTGCCAGCAGGCCGCCTCATCCATCCATCCAACTTGGCACGGCACGGCACCGACGAGATTCGGAAATTGCTTCCTGCAGACTGATTCCGAGGGTCCTTTTCGCCGCTGTCTCTCGCACCTTTACGGGATGCTCCACGAGGGAGACAGCGACGGAAACACCTCTCAGTCTGCTTGCCCGGCACTCGACTCCGGCAGTACGGTCAGTAAGTCCGTCGCCGGTCTGGATTTCGAGGGTCCCATCGGCAACGCGACGATTCCTGGAATCCTTGGCCTTGGCTCGGCCATCCCTTGTTGCTCCTGCGCTGGTCTGATTAAAGGGGGCTCCACTGTTGGAAGGGGGTTCGATTTCCGGATGGGATAGTGCCAGATGGAACCTCATTGAGCGCGATTTTCAATCACTGGAGGTTTGTTTTACGCGCACTCTGCGCACGAAAACTGAACCTGCCGAGGCCGAACATCAGGCTCCTCGCGGTTCGATCTTACTTTACGCCACTGATAATCGAACCTCCCCCTGGCAGTGTAGCGACTAACGACGCCAATCTGCTATCGGTTGTCAGCCGGAATGTAATCCACGGCCCTGGCTCGCTGGGCCTGCCCATGCCAGGCCAGGACGGGGGGTGCCCCCCGCCCCGCCACGGTATTAGACCCCGACGACAACTTCACCCAAACTGAATGCAAATGATATCGCCACCTGAACCTGACCCCAAAGCCGGCCGTGCCCCTACCCTGCGCCGCGCCTGCGCGTGCTGTCCAGGCTGGCGGGGCTGCTGGGGTAATTTGCGCGCAAGGGAACGGGCAGCCCTAACCGAGTTGGCAGCGTTGTTGCTCAGGCCTTCTGGCCGATACCAGTGGCGAAACACTCCCTTGTTGACAGCGCTAGGCGCAGAGTGGGCTTGCTGAGGTTCGGAGCCACCGTTGCTGGAAGGAAAGAAATCGTGGACCTTTCTTCTTCCCCCTTTTTTTTGGCCTTCTGCCCTCGTCGACCCGGGCAGCGTGTGCGCCATCCAATGGGCTTTCGCTGCTGGATATAGGCAAGTTTATTGGCTCTCGGCGAAGACGTGTATGGAATCGGGATGCTCTCACTCGAACAATGAGACTACTCACGCACACACATAACCGCAGGCACACACACACGCACATGATCCACGTCAACCAAAAGCGAATCAATTCTGTCGAGTCCCTTTTGTTTTATTTACCACACAGCACCACTTCTACCATGGCAAAGTACCTCTAAAACATCGACATGCCACACCATCGCCCCGCTACGCCGATACCAGCGCAGCGGTCAAGCCGTTCCATGCGTCAGACTATCTTATCGCACAGTGGTGTTGCTTACTGCTGAAGGGGCGCACACAACCTTGCAGCTACCTTGTGCAAAGCTTGAGGGTTTTCTCAAGCTCGTTGGAAAGAGATGCTAGCGGAGGAAGTCGCGCGCGCGCATCTTGCATGGATGGTAGGGTGCAGTTTTTTTAGGAGGGCAATAGGGGTGTTAATAATATTTTCCGGGAAGGGCCACCAAATTGAGCGTCAGCAGTACGTTTAGCAGCCAAGCAGCTGCCTCAGAGACACCGCACTTACGGCCCACAATGAAAGAAGCACAGAGAAACACATCGAGAGCATCACAGCAAACACGACGACAACATAGACCAACGAAATACAGCCAAGTAAGGAGCGCTCCAAAAACCGCAAAACTAGGGCCACTGTCAGAAAACTAGTAGATGAGATGAATAATTAATTACGTTATGGAATGACTCTACTCTATGAACTCTCCTCGTCAAATCATCTACTTAGTAATAAAATAAAGGAAATGTAAAAGACGCTAAAGGTTGTGTCTAGAAGGACCAAAGAGATGATAAACCGAAGTACACCGTGAACCTCCAGTCAAGGATAATCAAGTTCTTTTTCTGACAGTGCAATTAATAAAAGTATCAACACCGACCAACAACAACAACAATAATAGTATGAGTTAAAGAAGGTAAACGGGGGGAGCCTTTACCTGTGCGCGGGGCTGTGGACTGTGCTGGCCTCCCCCCCTCCCCCTCCCGACCCCACGGGTGACGCCCCGCCCTTCGCTTCGTCCGGCTCCTGCTCCTGGGAGTTGGCCAGGGAGTGCCGGGCCGAGCTCTGCGCGCTGCCGCCGCTGCCGCCGCTGCCCGAGGCGGAGGACGGGCTGCAAAAGGGCAACACAGGGGCGCGCAGGGTGTTAGCTTGACAGGCTGAGTCCGCTCGCGGCCGACGTCGCGTCGGTACACTTTCGACGGGCTGCGCTGCCTTGCCCGAGGCACGCCGAACCAGCTGCTGCAGAACTGCGGAATCTGAGAGGAGAGAACCGGCGTCGTTTCGGCATGCACAGGCGGTGCCAGCGCGGCGGACGAGGAGACGATCGGGTTTGGAAAGCGGGCTTCAATGCGAGTCGCTTACAAAAAAAAAGTTGGATTGGGTTGAGCGCATCCCTCAGTCTTGCGCGCAAGTTGCGGCTACTTTGAGATGAATCCCCTTCACCCCCCCCGCTCCCACCCAACCCACCGCGCCCCACCGCGCCCTGCGGCGCTGTCGTGGGGGAAGAGACTCGGTTCTTTTGCTTCGGAGACTCTGTAACGCGCGTTTAGATCACGACCGGCTCCCAGTCCGCACGTGCCACGTCGCACTCGTCGCACTACTGCGGCTAGTTGTGTGTGAGTACTCTGTGCGTTTACTCAAGTGTTAACCCTATTGGGTGCTGGCTAACACACGCATACGGACGACACGGCTCGTCGGTGTCACTCACACATACACAGGTCCTCTCACGCACGCACACACTCACACACAGTCGCGTAGGTGATAATGTGCTGACTAGATTTGGCGGTGAGTGAGTTACATCGGCGTCCTGCTCCAAACTATTTACAAAACAGGATTAAAACAAAAACAACAGGTGAATCTCAGCTACATTCAACAACAGCAACACGGTGAGGAACACAAAACGGAAACAAGCGACACAGTCGCACTGTTCGGTACTCACCCTGGTACGTCCGCGCCCGAGCTGTTGGATCCGCCGCTGCCCGGGTCGCCGCCCCCGCCCCCCGGCCCGCCCCCCGGCCCCACCCCCGTCTTGTCCACCATCATGCGTGAGCAGCCTGCGACCGAGGGGGAGGCGCCAGAGCTGCCGCCCCCGCCCGCCTCCACCTGCAACAACAACACACTGTAATTGCACCGATTTACACGCTTTCGAATTAATTGCGCGACTGTTGTTCCAGCAAGGGCGCCCCGGCAGGGCAGGCAGGCAGCGCGGCCCCGCCAGGGCTGGCAGGCAGATGGCGCCGTAGGCTGCCCTAGGCCCGCCCACGCCGCACCCGGCCGTCCCGACCAGAACTGGGTCGGCCGCTCCGCTCGGCTCACCCGGCTCGCTCCGCTGGCTCCAATGTTTCGACCGTTTCGACACTTGCAGCAGGCGGAGATGGGCGGCCGGAACTCTGTCCAGGACCGGGAACCGGAAGCCGCCCCGGCCGGCCGCTGGACGAGCAGGACGAGGAGCAAGAAGACGTGCGCGAGATGGACGACGCGACGTGGCAGGTGCCTAAACTTCGGCCGCGTTTCCTGCTGACGGACTCCCTGGAGGAGCAGGGCAGGCCGGGCCGTGCCGGGCCGTGCCGGGCCAGGAGGAAGGCACCAGGCACTATAAAAGACGGCCCTTCCACGAGCAGCACTCTCACCTCCCGGACGTGCCCCGGTCCGGCCCCGCTCCTCACCCGCCACGCTACCCGACCTCCCCCCTGGCCCGCAACATGTCTGGTGAATGATGAATATACTTGCCGTGCCCTTTGTGGGAGAAAAGTGAGTTTGTTTGTCGTCCAGTAAACGGCTAAGCGAGTTACAAGCGCAGCTGCTTGTCTCCTTCTATCGCGTTGTTTCGCATTCGCGTCTCCCTCTCCGGCCGTCCTCGCCGTTTTATTCAGAATGCGCGGGGCAATGCCGAGCCTCTCTATTCATTAGCCTCCCTTACCAAGCAAAAATAAAATGCAAAAAAATAAGAGGAAAATCTGGTAAACTGTGCTTGCGGTGGCTCCAGTAGCCAGCATTTTCGGGGGCTGGCGAGAGGGAGGTCCGTGTGGCACGCCACTGCCACTTGAGGCGTAGATTTGACCGAGGGGTGGTGAAAAACTGTCTGCGGAAGCAAATTGCACCAACTTTTTCCCTGTGTGTGTGTGCGTGGAAAGGGGTGGGGGCGGAGCGTGTGGGGCGTGCGTGGGGTGGGAGCGTGCCCCGCCTCCTAATGAGGCGTCATTCGCGCCTCCCGTCCCACTTCCGGTTCCTGGGTGTCACTTCCGGTGTCTCTCCAAGAGTCTCGTCGTCACTTGACGTGTCACTACTTCCGGTGTCGTTTCCGGTACCACTTCCGGTTTCACTACTCGCTCCACCACTTCCGGCGTCACATCCGGTGTCGCTTTCAAACCGCGCGCCAAAGCCTTGACCTCGAGCCAGAGTGCCAGTCGTACTGGTCGCGGCTCGAGTCCACAAAAAAGGTCCAGCCGGGCTATCGGCAGAGGGAGCCAAACCGGGCGGCAGGAACTGCAGCAGACACGGCGGCGAGGCCGGCCAAGGCAGGCCGAGGCCGGCCGAGGGACACCGCCACCGTTTTTCTCCCACAGGCAGGGAAAAAAGGCGGCCGGTCATGGATCTTGGGCCGTCCGGCCAGGATTGCCCTGTCTATATCCGGACCCCTTCTTACGGGATGAGGGACACTGCCAGCCGGATCCGTTCGAACGGCCCCTTTCTTGCTCGGAAACAGTGGACCTCGCGGCGGGACCGGAGAGGCAGACGTCTCATTGAGGGGATGGGGCTCTTATGAGCTTTTAGCGCGGGGTGGTGTGGCGCGGCCGGTCAGGCGATGGAGATGGATGAGGTGTGTCTGTGTGTGAGAAAGAAGGGGGTGGGGGAATCAGCGCTGAAGCTGAGCGAAACAGAGAGACTGACTGGCGAGCAGTGTGACACCCGCGAGTCACGAAACCCAGCAGCGGATCGTCGCGGCGGGCGAGACATTGTCACCCGAAAAAAGAGAGAGGCCCTTCGTACACCCCGTATAGTGTATGGGGAGTGAGATAGCGCGGACGAAGCGCGGACCGTGCGGGCTGGGGGGGGGGGGGTTACGTGGAGAGGGGCGGCGGTATGTCTTGCGGCTGGCGCGCTGGCGCCTGGCCTGCAGGGTAGGCCCTACACCGATCTCTCCTTTCCAGAGTTAAAGTGGGGAGTGCGCTCCGCGTGTCGCTCCCCTTTCTTGGCCTACTTACGGCCCCCCCTCCCCTTCCCCCAACACACACACACACTTTGATTCGTTTTGAGAGGCTGTTAGCTAATGCATCTGGGCCTCTATTATCATGAGCGTCGCCAGGGGAGACACAGAGACGGGGGAGGGGGCTCCTTCAGACAGGCCCCCCACCCCCCCAACCCGCCCGCCCCACCGCTCACAAGCCGTGCCTTCCTGGAGAAGGGGGAGGGTCTGGGGGGGGGGGGGGGCTGGAAGGACGTCCTTGGCATTCCCTACCGCACCGCAGATCAACATGGCGCTGGCTGGGGCCTCTCTTGGCTCGCAGCACGGCTTGACTGCATTTCCCTTCACACACACACATACACACACACATACACACAAACACAAGGGCGCATTAATAGTATTATTAGTCGTATTCGGTGTCCACGTTAACCTGCGCGCCGCGCAAAAAAACAGGCCCTGGTGTCATGTTTTTCGGGCATGAATAAATTGTTGGCAAAATATGGGCAAGAAAGCGCATCAATTTTTCTTTTCAAACGATTAACGTTCTACATTGTGTTGGTCCTGTTTGCCGCATGTTGTTTTCCGTGTGCGGTCCGTCCCCACGACACGTTTGGCTGCCCTGAACGCCGCGTTGTCGTATCGCCGTCCCACCGCGGTCACTTGGGCCTCCGTGGTGGGACGGCCCGGCTCGCCGCCGGCGTGGCCAAACTCGCCAGTGTAGACTGATGCCGAAAGTCGATTCCGCTGCTCTGTCTCCCTCGCACTCACGGGGCATCCCGCACAGGAACAAGAGAGACAGGGCGATGGAAACGACTCTCGGAATCAGTCTGCAGCAGCGAGTCTAACAAGAGGGGAGGAAAGCGAGCAAAGCTGCTGATGGCCGAGGGGGAGGATCGTTCCGTGCCTCTGTGTGTGTGTGTGTGTGTGTGTGTGAGTGTGTTTGCGTGGGTGGCAATTCCAGGGTGGGCGCAGGCAGGCCCGGCCCGGCGGACGTGGCAGGCTTGTGAGTTTTGGCGGCGCGCGCAAAGTTGAACAGAGACATCCTTTGGCTCCAAGCCCGTCCGCGCGGTCCAGTCCCTTGTTGTTGCTCGCTGGGCCGCCAAATCCCCGGACTTGAACATGGCTGCCCACAAACACCCCTCCTCCTGCGTCGGACTGCCAAAAAAAATGGTAGAAGAATTTCTGAGAATAAAAATTTTGCGATGGTGATCCGCCGGGCAGTAGCAAACGGACGGTTTATGACACGAACGAACGCATCCTGAAGGACACCGACGGCACGAAATTGGCACTGCGAGGTAGTAGTGGGCCAGTTGTATCATTGCGCATCAATAACGCAGTGTGGGCGCAGTGCGTGCCGCGTGCGTTTGCTCGCTGCGGTGCCACGAGGAGCACACGCGCGTGCCCTCGCCGCGGTGGCGCTCACGGCAAATTAGGCTTGGTGGAAGAGCGGGCTGCGTCCGACCCCAGTGCGGGCACTGTGTCTGTCTCACACACCTACGGACCGAGTCGCGAGTGTGACGGAGACAGAGCGATAGAGGCACAGCCCGTTCGGACACAGCCCACTGGCGCCTAATGGACCGGCACGCAGGAGGAAGAGAGAGAAAGAGAGAGGGGGGGGGACCATCGCATGGGCGGAGGGCATCACCGGGGAGCGCAGTGGACAGCGGCCGCGAGGTCTGCTGCTCGCTGGCCAGCCCTTCGGACTAACAAATGCGGATCTGCTTGCTTTTCTCTAGTGACTGCCACTGGGAGTCCGACTGGCTAGTTGTTCGGTTTGCGT